AAAAGACTCCATCTCAAAAAAACCCAAAAAACAAAAAACAAACAAAAAAATAACATCTGTTGCTCTTCTATCAGGAATCTGTTAAACCAGTACCAAAGCACACAGGTGCAGCAATATACTGCCTCTGAATGATAAGGATTGATCAGATCTAGAATCATTTTCATGTTACCACAGTTTCAAAAGGCTTAACATTTGTTTTCAACCAAAGTATTGATCAAATCCATACAAATACTGTGACTCTGGGGCCTGATCATCTGAAATGTTCATTTTGAGTTCTAAGCACTGTCAACGGCTATTAACTTGTTTAAGCTTTTGCTCTTTTGTGGTGTATGAATGAAGAGAAATTCACTTAGGAAACTGGACTGCATGAGAAGGGTTAAGAGAAAATTACACCAATCAAGTTACAGCCACTAATCAAGGGTTTAAAGCAATACATTTTTCCAACAATATTGAATCTCTGGGAGTCTGTGGCTTCTTAAACTTACCTTTTTAAACATGGAATAGGAAAATGTAGACACCTTCCCTTCCCCACCTCCTGCCAGATTTAGACAGTTTTTTTCCTTACTGATGTGCTTATGTGGCATGAATGCTCACATGTCCAGTTTCAATTAATTTCAGCTACTGTCCACCTAAAGAGTAAATTCTACCTTTCCTCAAAAGGAAAGAGACATCAAGCAACACATTTATAATACAAACACTACAAAGAGGCCATAAAGTCCTTAGGTATGTAATCTTAGGGTAAGTTTTTAGTCTCAGAATCTCCTCTGATCTTTGACAGCTGGACACACAGGCCGCCTCTGTTTGCCCTTAAATTCTCTCACTTCAGCCTTTCCCATCTTATCAGTCTCTCAGATGTTGATCTTTCCTTGTAACATCTCTAAAATGATTTCCAAATAAGTTGCTACCTTTCAGAATACACCTATATCCATACCTTCTAAGACCAGTTATAAGCTCTAGATGTAAATCAGTTTCAAAAAGTGAGCTCATTTCAACCACATCAATTTTCAACTCAGACATTCTGAAACATAACACACGTGGAAACCCCCAATCAACCCAGTGGGATTTACCAATCACATTAAGTTCTACCTCCATAATTGAAGCTAATGTGATCTAACAGACTGCCTTATTTTTCTACTCCTGAGAATGTCACAGAATTTAGATGGTGGGGGAGGGGGGCGAGAGAGGTACCTGAAGGCCAACATTAGTTTTAAGTCTTCAAAGAAAAGGATTAGGCGAGGACTACAACTTTCTTCCCTTTATATACTCATAACATCCCATAGCTCAGTCCATAAAATATGCTAATTTACTCCACTTAACATAGTTATACATATGTAACCATGACCATTTTGGGTTACATAAGGTATTGTTTCACTGGGGCATTCATATAAAACATGACTTAAACACGGTACATTGTCTTTGTAGTGATGATAGATTTAATCATCAGACTCATAACAAAATACGGTTTAGGGAAGATTTAAAGAGCACTAGTTGACATATTTAATGCTGTTCAAAGCTCTCATAAAGCACACCATAAAAACACCCAAAGAGACTGGACGCGGTGGCTCACGCCTGTAATCCCAGCACTTTGGGAGGCCGAGCTGGATCACCTGAGGTCGGGAGTTCAAGGCCAGCCTGGCCATCATGATGAAACCCCATCTTAAAGGGGGAAAAAAAAAAAAAAACACAGATCAATGCTATCCCCATCAAGCTACCAATGACCTTCATCACGGAATTGGGAAAAAAAACACCTTAAACTTCATATGCAACCAAAAGAGAGCCCGTACAGCCAAGTCAACTCTAAGCAAAAAGAACAAAGCAGGAGGCATCACACTATCGGACTTCAAACTAAACTACAAGGCTACAAACAAATCAAAACAGCATGGTACTGGTACCAAAACAGAGATATAGACCAATGGAACAGAAGAGAGGCCTTGGAGGCAACACATCGTATCTACAACCATCCAATCTTTGACAAACCTGACAAAAAAAAGCAATGGGGAAAGGATTCCCTGTTTAATAAATGG